TACTTTGTTACTGAAGACGACTTGCGTTGGCATTTATACACAGAAGGTTTTATTGAGAATTATTATACTTGGTATTGTCATGGCGAAGTATTGAATCCGTCATACTTTCCTCAGACAGTTGGCAGTTCACGTGTAGTTCCAGAGTCGGTTTCTGCATGGGGTAATTATGAGAACATGACTTGGGACCAACAGGTTGTGTATGATGCAATGGCACCTAATGCTTTTCCTGCATCGTCAAATTTTAATGATGTTCCGAGCTCATCGTCTCATCAACATACTGACGATATTAATACATTTTCTGATCAATTTTTAGAAGTGTTGAAGGCAGCTGACGAGCCGTTATATCCTGATTGCGATGAGAAATCGACATTAGCTGCCGTGTTAGAAATCTTGAGCATAAAGTCGGATTGGAATCTCTTAGAGGCTTGTATGTCAAGATGGTTACAAACTGTTGGAGCGTGGTTACCAAAAGATCATAATTTACCTACAGATTTTTATACTTTAAAGAAGATGATTTCTGAGCTAGGACTGCCAGTTGTTAAAATTGATGCATGTCCTGCTGGTTGTATGTTGTTTTGGAAAAATGATGAACAACTGGACACATGCAAATTTTGTGGGGAGTCTCGATACAAGCCTACGAGCGAAAGACGAGGTAAGCTTCGGAAGCGCCGTGCTAGATCAAAACTGATATATCTACCATTTATTCAGCGCTTACAACGGTTGTATGCCTCGCCTGTCACTGCAAAACACATGTCCTGGCATGTTGAACATGAAACTGAACCTGGGTTAATGTGTCATCCGTCAGATTCTGAAGCATGGAAACACTTTGATCGTTGTCATCCCTATTTTGCGTGTGAACCGCGCAATGTACGTATAGGCCTCTGCACGGACGGATTTGCCCCACATGGACAGTTTGGAGCACAATACTCTTGTTGGCCTGTGATGATTACACCGTATAATCTACCGCCTGACATGTGTATGCGTAGTGAGTTTTTGTTCCTAACTTTAATTTGTCCTGGACCGCACAATCCCAAAAAACGTCTAGACGTATATATGCAACCGGTTATCGAGGATTTAAGACGTTCTTGGTATGATGGAGTCCCCACGTACGATGTGTCGAGTCCCACGTCTTTTGAAAAAACCCCGGATTCATCCCGTTAGGTCCTGGTGATTTGTCTGGATGCATTGCAAAAAGCGCCTTTCGAACCTCCACTTCTTCAAACGGCCTAAGAAGCATATCATTATGCACTGACGAAACCTTCGGTGTAATCTGATCAAAAAAAGTTGATTGAGCAGCCCCTATAGAGTCAAAAATATGATTGAAATAATTCCAAACCAAAGGTTTAAGGGCTTCGCCCTCACACCACTGTCCTGTACCATCCCGTAACCGGCCAATATGGTTCTTCTTTCTCCGATAAGATGCATATTGGTGGAAATACTTAGTGTTAGCATCCGCCGACCGAAGCCAGTGTTGCTTAGCCCGTTGATGCCAATAAATATCCTCCTGATCCAAGAATTTCGACAGCTCCCCGTCAAGTCGATTAAACTCCCTCAACCCTGTAGCACTACGACACCCCCTAAATCTTTCCACCTCAGCCTTTAAATGCTTAATCCGTTTACCAAATTTATGCATCTTGTCGCCCCCCCAAGCCATCAACTTCTTGCCACAATAACCTAACCTGTCCTGGAGAGAAAGTGTTGACGATGAATCCCACGCCTCCTTAATCACATCCTTATAACCGTCATCACGAAGCCATGCATTTTCAAACCGGAACTGTTTCTTCCTCTTCTGAGTACACGGTTTAGTTAGACATAAAACCAAGGCAGAATGGTCAGATGTCCGCATAGGTTGATTTGTGACGCAAGCATGGGGATGAAGCATGCGCCATTCACATGTACTAACGGCACGATCCAGACGCTCTTCAACCCAATTCTCCGTGCCTCTACCACGCTCCCACGTGAAAGGGTATCCCTGCATACCAAGATCAAACAAACCACACTCCTCCAACGATGAATTAAAAGCAGAAATCAACGATAGAGGTTGAGGCTGACCCCCTCTCTTCTCAGAAGATGCACATACAGCATTGAAATCACCGATGGCCACCCACGGTAAGGAAGATCTGACCTTTAATGAGCGAAGGAGATCCCACGAGGTTTGTCGAAGGTCTCTTCTAGGATTCCCATAAAATCCAGTGAGCCTCCAAGGGAGAGCACCTCCCAAAGAGACCATAACATCAACATGAAACCGTGAGTAACTAATAAGATTAACTGAGCGGTTTGACCTCCAGAGTAACGCCAAACCACCACTTGTACCAACACTATCCACCGCAAGCAATCCCTCAAAACCAATCTTAACACGAAGAACTTCGGCCTTATCACGAGCACCTTTAGTTTCCATGAGAAAAACAAAATCAGGCTTTTTTGCGAAGACGAGCTCCGCCACTTCCTGAACTGTCCGCAGGTTGCCCAGCCCGCGGCAGTTCCAACTGATGATACTCATTGCTCTCGGCGGGCCTGGAACCCAGAACCCGCCGCCTGCACGTTTTTTGGAAAGTCTGTCATGGTTGTATCCACCCCCAAAGGAACCACAATCACTTCATCCGAACCCCTTTTTCGTTTTGAGGCAATTTCCAAGCCATCCTCGTCATGTGAGTTACTCTTTGTAGCAACCGACACCGAAGATCCTGCACCGTCCCCCAATAAAGGATTGTCAAAGCGCAACCATTGTAAGCCATAACTAGTATCCTTTTTCCTTCCCCCTGCCCGGAGAGATGCATCAAAAGGGTACTCCTCTGGTTCCAAATCTGATAATACCGCATCACGACAATGTTTCGCTATATGGCCCATTATTCCACAGTAAAAACAAAAACCATTCAAACGTTTATATTTAAAGTTCACCCAAACTATGCCACCATCTCTCTTAGTCAGTTTCATCCTCCTACATAAGGGTTTCTTCTCATCAATGGAGACTCTCACCCGAAAATACGAACGATGTATGGAAGGACTAGTGTCATGTTTAACAAAATTACCAACAAACTTACCCACCGCCTCTAAAATTTCCAGCGAAGTATACCCATCCGGGAGGTCATAAATCTGCACCCACATCTGAACCATGTTCAGATCCTTTGTCTCGACAACCTCCCCTGGACTAAGGAGTTTCATCACTAATGTTGCATTATCAAATGACCATGGACCCTCTTCAATGATTCGGGTCGCATCTTTCATATGGAAGAAGTGAAAGAGATAGAGGTTATCATCCTTTTGCACAATTCGCACCCCTAACGCTGGTTTCCAAGCGGCAGCCATAACCCTTTGCATTATGTCAAATTTGATAACCTTGTCTGTGAGAAATCGACCAGCAATCGTCCAAGTGCGCAAGCTAGTTTCAGCAGTCGGTGCCCCACTGTCAGGAAGAAACGAAAGCCCCTCTTGTTCTTCATCCAAATCGAGTTGTGCTACCCCGATATTCAATCGATCGACGTCTCTTCCTTCCATGGATCTACAGAGGACGAGAAATAGCAGCAAAATTTCCAAAAGAAGCCGACGAATTGAAACCCTGAAACGCAGGGAGAGAAAACCCTAGAAAACGCAGGGAGGCACAAAAGAATTAGAATTGAAGACTCCTTCTTCTTAGTTGAATGTGATAGAATGAAAAAAAATAATAAAATCTCTAAGTTCAATATTGTTGATGTTAATGAATCAAAGATATATCGGAAAAATGAACCATTTATTCTGGCGCAACAAGGTGCACAAGTTTACTATGCCAAGTATCCATCGACTCGTCAACGTGCATCTACTTGGCTTTGTGCGTGTTCCATTCGACCACGAAAAATCATTACTCCTGCAACCGCGAGAGAAGTTGATTTTGAAGCATTTCAACAAGAATTTTTTCAATCGCCCCCAATTGTTGAAACAACTCAAGTTGGTGTTTTTTTGCAAGATACTAATGGGGGTGAAATTCAAGTGGAAGAATTACTTAATGATTTCGAAGAAGAGGAATGGATCTATGGTGAAGATACTGAAGAAGACGAAGTTTATATTGATGGTGATTATGAGAGTGAATGATGTAATTTTCGTACTTCTTTTCATTGGATTTTTATATGCTATTGTCCGACTAATATTTCAAATTGCAAGTTTTCCTATTTTTATATGCTACTGTTTGTATTTTAATATTTTCTCTGTTCTTAAAAGACTCTTTTTCACCATAAATTATGGAAATAGTATATTTACTTATAATATAAATTTAATAAAATTAGATTTACTTTAAAATAAAGTTTTGAAATATTAATTTTTTGTAATATTTAAAACTTTAAAAAAAATAAATTCGTGATAAAAATGTCATAATTACACAAAAATCAAACTATGACAATTTTTTAAGGACCGAGGAGTAAAACTAAATATTTTACTTTTTTCGTACGAATTTAAGTTGATAAAACTCTTGCAGCACAGTAAGCTATACAACGGTGTAGGCACAGAAATAGTCGTGCCTATATCTTTATTCAACTTGCAATAATTATGGTTTGAGTTTTGGCACGGCTATAGCCGTGCCAGCAAGCGTTACAACACAAAAAGGCTGACACAATTACAGAGATATTTCTTTGGCACGGATAAGGGCGTCCCTACGTAATAACCCAAACATTTCGTAATTAATGCACACCCTTAGGCACGGGTGTGGCCGTGCCTAAGTTCGATCCAATAAAAAAGACTGACACACTTGCAGAGGCTATTAATGTAGCCCCAAAAATCTAAGAGTTGAATGTGTTTGGCACGGAAAAGGCCGTGCCTACGTAATTATTCAAACTGTCGTGTATTTACTGCTCGGTGTAGGCACGGATTCCGACGTGCGTAACGTCGTGCCAAATTTTAAGTATATAATCACGCCTTAACACTTTTTCCCCGTTTTTTCATTACCCACTCCGCTCCTCCTACTATTCTCTTTCTCCAAAGCCGTAACTCCTCCGCCCTCCTCCCTCACAACCCATTCTCCTATCAATGTCTTCAACAAGTAGCACTTCCTTCCGCGGTAGCATTCGCGGTAGGGGAAGCTTTCAGCGTTCTCACTCTCGAGCATCACCGGAATCGTCATCTACCACTACCCCTCAGTCTATATTCAATGCCGGTGGCGACTTGGAGGCTGAGGTCGAGGTCGAGGTCGAGGGCGAGGGCGAGGGCGGAGGAGGCGCCGAAGGAGGAGACGGAGTTTCAACGGAGGCTAGTGCAGTGCCGTACGTGGATCTTCCGCGCTTGATCACCAAGGCCGAACTGAAGGGGTAATTTTTTGCATTTTATTATCTCATTTATTATTTGTATGATTATTTAAGTTTTTAATTTTTTTTCCAGCGAACAAGCTGTCCTAAACACAATTAAAGTCATAATCAAAGAAAGTTTTCATGGGCCGTGGAATACCTACACAACCGCCCCCAAGGAAGTTCGTCAGCGATGGTGGAACCTGTTTCGTGTAAGTATTTTTTTTGAAATACACTTAGATGATTTTTTCTAATACTAAATTAATTTTATGACTTTATAGCTTCGTTACACCTGGTTGCCTGGGGCATACCCGGCGGGCACTGAAAAAATCATGAGGAGCGCCTTTAACACCCGTGGGTCCGTATGGTTGACGAAGAGGTTCATGAATGCACGAAACAAAAATAAGAAGCCGAGTTTTGTGGGAGAAGATCACTGGGAAACGATGGTTAAGTATTGGGCAAGTCCGGATTTTCGAGCAAAGAGCGTGAGGTCGAGCAAGAACCGAAACACGGAGAAGGCAAAGCAAAGGCAATATTATGGGGGGCGTCGTTCTGTGAGCGAGCACATCAAGAAGATGGTAAGTGTTTTTCTGTAGTCTTTACTT